GACGAAGTTTGCTAAATAACTAGTCGGAATGCCCTCCTCTAGATGATAACCGATACATCCAAGCATGAACGGTGTGTGTAATTCTCTGTGTGTGTGTGTAATTCTCCTGTGTGTGTGTGTGTAATTCTCCTGTGTGTGTGTGTGTGTATGTAATTCTCCTGTGTGTGTGTGTAATTTTCCTGTGTGTGTGTAATTCTCCTGTGTGTGTGTTTGTGTAATTCTCCTGTGTGTGTGTGTATGCAATTCTCCTGTGTGTGTCTGTGTGTGTAATTCTCCTGTGTGTGTGTGTAATTCTCCTGTGTGTGTGTGTGTGTAATTCTGCTGTGTGTGTGTGTGTCGTTCTCCTGTGTGTGTGTGTGTGTGTAATTCTCCTGTGTGTGTGTGCAATTCTCCTGTGTGTGTGTGTGTGTAATTTTCCTGTGTGTGTGTAATTCTCCTGTGTGTGTGTGTAATTCTCCTGTGTGTGTGTGTAATTCTCCTGTGTGTGTGTAATTCTCCTGTGTTTGTGTGTAATTTTCCTATGTGTGTGTGTAATTCTCCTGTGTGTGTGTGTGTGTAATTCTCCTGTGTGTGTGTGTAATTCTCCTGTGTGTGTGTGTGTGTGTAATTCTCCTGTGTGTGTGTAATTCTCCTGTGTGTGTGTGTGTAATTCTCCTGTGTGTGTGTAATTTTCCTGTGTGTGTGTGTGTAATTCTCCTGTGTGTGTGTGTAATTCTCCGTGTGTGTGTGTGTAATTCTCCTGTGTGTGTGTGTAATTCTCCGGTGTGTGTGTGTGTAATTCTCCGGTGTGTGTGTGTGTGTAATTCTCCGGTGTGTGTGTGTGTGTAATTCTCCGGTGTGTGTGTGTAATTCTCCTGTGTGTGTGTGTAATTCTCCTGTGTGTGTGTGTGTGTAATTCTCCTGTGTGTGTGTGTGTGTAATTCTCCGGTGTGTGTGTGTGTAATTCTCCGGTGTGTGTGTGTGTGTAATTCTCCTGTGTGTGTGTTTAATTCTCCTGTGTGTGTGTGTGTAATTCTCCTGTGTGTGTGTGTGTAATTCTCCGGTGTGTGTGTGTAATTCTCCGTGTGTGTGTGTGTGTTTCTCCGGTGTGTGTGTGTGTGTAATTCTCCGGTGTGTGTGTGTAATTCTCCGGTGTGTGTGTGTGTGTAATTCTCCGGTGTGTGTGTGTAATTCTCCGGTGTGTGTGTGTGTGTAATTCTCCGGTGTGTGTGTGTAATTCTCCGGTGTGTGTGTGTAATTCTCCGGTGTGTGTGTGTGTGTAATTCTCCGGTGTGTGTGTGTGTGTAATTCTCCGGTGTGTGTGTGTGTGTAATTCTCCTGTGTGTGTGTGTGTAATTCTCCTGTGTGTGTGTGTGTAATTCTCCTGTGTGTGTGTGTAATTCTCCTGTGTGTGTGTGTAATTCTCCTGTGTGTGTGTGTAATTCTCCTGTGTGTGTGTGTGTGTAATTCTCCGGTGTGTGTGTAATTCTCCTGTGTGTGTGTGTAATTCTCCGGTGTGTGTGTGTGTGTAATTCTCCGGTGTGTGTGTGTGTAATTCTCCGGTGTGTGTGTGTAATTCTCCGGTGTGTGTGTGTAATTCTCCGGTGTGTGTGTGTGTGTAATTCTCCGGTGTGTGTGTGTGTGTAATTCTCCTGTGTGTGTGTGTGTGTGTGTAATTCTCCTGTGTGTGTGTGTGTGTAATTCTCCTGTGTGTGTGTAATTCTCCTGTGTGTGTGTGTGTGTAATTCTCCTGTGTGTGTGTGTAATTCTCCGGTGTGTGTGTGTGTGTAATTCTCCGGTGTGTGTGTGTGTGTAATTCTCCGGTGTGTGTGTGTAATTCTCCGGTGTGTGTGTGTGTGTAATTCTCCGGTGTGTGTGTGTGTGTAATTCTCCGGTGTGTGTGTGTGTGTAATTCTCCGGTGTGTGTGTGTGTGTAATTCTCCGGTGTGTGTGTGTGTGTAATTCTCGGGGTTTAACCCCTCCAGACGTCCCGTATCAAAACGCGGCGTAAAGCGGTTGTGTCCGGAACAGGTTATTGAATCTGTCGTTGTGAATGATTTACCACTTCAGTGAGAAAGAAAACGTATTGATCTGTAATTTAGACGCAGTATATTCGTGAACAAAAGCTTTGGTGGACATTATGTGGAAGTTTGCAAAGAAAAAGGGCGAATGTGTCAAAACCTCCTGTCAGTAAATTAGCGTTTAATCGCCATCACCGCCTCAGCCTCACCTCCGCCTCAGCCTCAGCTCCGCCTCAGCCTCCGCCTCAGCCTCACCTCCGCCTCCCACTCAGCCTCACCTCCGCCTCCGCCTCAGCCTCACCTCCGCCTCAGCCTCAGCTCCGCCTCAGCCTCCGCCTCAGCCTCACCTCCGCCTCCGCCTCAGCCTCACCTCCGCCTCCGCCTCAGCCTCACCTCCGCCTCCGCCTCAGCCTCACCTCCGCCTCAGCCTCAGCTCCGCCTCAGCCTCA